TATCTACATAGGTGAGTGTTAATCGTAACAACATTATTTTATATGATTTAAAATTTGTCTTTTATATATTTTCTAAATAACAGATTAGTTATCATTGATTTTTAAAGTTTTATAAGTATTACATACTCGTAGCTTTTGTGTAGTATGTATGTATGCATGTTTTTATATCAGAAAATATTAGCATCTTTAATAAACAGTTTTTAATGTTCGATTTCTTTGTTTCAGTTATTGTTCCCAAGCTGATAAGTACAGTACATCACAATGACATTAACAGCGATAGACTCGCTGGCTTTCAAAGCACTAAGTTCGCACAACATTTTCCTTCGTTTTGTATGTATGTAGTAGTTATGTACTTATTTATGTATGTAACTAGTAAATCACTCTTAGAATTTTTTTTCATTATATTTCATTTACATTACTAAATACGTAAATATATTTGTAAGTAGTTAACGTACGCACAGCTTTGCTTTCTAAAGTAACTATGATAATTAGATAGTATTTAAGTATTTGTTAAGTAGCTGAGACATCAAGTATTCAAACAAAGAATTCATTTATTTTTTCTTGAATTTAATCAAGAGGGCATTTTAATTACAATTAGTACCTAAGTCATTTTTCTTATGATCCGATGCTTATGGACCCTTTGTGACAATAAGTTAATTAAAATTTCTATACTAAAACTAAATTGCAAATACTCATAACTATTCGCTACGTAATATGTAGTGCGATTTATAAAACGTCGCAAAGTGGCATTTTTGCGAAATGGCAATGTTGTTAACAAAGTTGTATGATCGAGGGAAACAATACGAGTAAATACAAGTACATACTCCATACTTTTCGATCGAAACCAAATTATTTTGGTATCGAAACTAACTCGATACTAACTTCATTGCCTTTCTTAATATGTAGCAACATGTTATCAAAGAAACTAAACAAAGAAGAAAAAGAGTAGGGTACATAGAGTTGATAAAAAAAATTCCTGGAAGAAACTGAAATATTCCAGAAAATTTAAACGCATCCCTTTGCATCTAGTCTGGGGAAAAGTATGTGTCAAATAGTAAAATTGTTTTAGTTCGCGGTATCGCTGGCTATCGAAGATCGAAAGTGAAATTTGTATTATGAGCTATGCAAGCGTGTCGAAATTTTCGTTGAGTATCGAATTTTCTGTCGTACAGAATTTTGCTTTCGTTGGTGTAGCGAAGTGTTAGAAAATTGTGACAAATTTATGATTTTGCATTTGTTTTCTTACTTTTTGGCGGCTAGACACTAATTTGGAACATTTTTTATTAATTTCATGCCGTTCTAACGTCGTGAATTCTAAACACAAGCTCGAAAGGCTGGTTTTACTTGTGAAAGAAACTCCCAATACTCAGTTGGCACGATCTCTGAGAACAAAATCGTAAGCTGTTGATAGTTTTAAAATATTTCAAATAGATTTAGCTCACAAACGCCTCTTTAGAGAGTCGGAAGTTTTTAATAAATCTGTAGACAAATTTCTTAAATATATTTTAGTTCAAAATATATTCGAAAGACTACACTTAAACTCTCTTAAACGTTTTCTGCTCCTGGCCAGTTTTCTAAGCTCTCATCCTCTGACGAATCGTTCAACCAGAACTCCGTTGTACTCATTTTTACCACGTTTTTAACCGACTTCCAAAAAAGGAGGAGGTTATCAGTTCGTCGGAATATTTTTTTATTTTTTTTTTTATGTATGTTGCCGCATAACTTTGGACCACGTCAACCGATTTCGATAATTCTATAAATAATTTTTGCATCGGAAAGGTAGTGTCTCAGAGGTGGTCCCATACTAATCTGGTTAAGATTCGATCAGTGGATCATGAGATATATATATATATACCTTTTTTATATGAGAGTTGAAGTCGGTTTTTTTTGCTAAAAATTACTTGTTATAAACTCGCTTTCTTTTTTATTTCGTTTTTATTTGCACAGATTTACATAAATATGTACAAGCACACTATTTAGTTTGCTCGAGTTGTAAACAAGGCTTCTCAGCAGTGAAAAAAATACTATTGTGAACAACCTAAACGAATGAGTGCCATAATACCAAATGAAAATTCGTTCGATCAGCACTTTCGACCACAGTCAAAGATCGAATGCAACTCATAATAGGGGCCATATTTGGCATTCCCAGATAATAGTTAACTTATGACATAAAAAAAATTTAACTTATTTAGTTCTTAGGAATACTTTCATAGTCAAGAGTATCGATATGAGTAGGTATCGATACTTTAGATCCGATATTTTTTAGATAGCTATATTTTCTTTCGACACTACTTCCAAGTATAAAATGTAAAATTAAAAACAAAATGCTGCGCGTTAGAGAAAAAGACAATTTTTTTTACAATTCGAAGCAGACTTAACTGATATAGTTTTTCTTGAGGTATTTGAAGATAATAAAAAAACATATGCTTCGCGACTTTGACTTTGCAATGATTGCCAGCTCAAATACCATGGCAAAGTCGCACGAAAGTTTCCATATAAAAGTAATCAGCTGTGTCGCATGGTGGCAAATTTTGCGACAAATGCGATATTTGCAACCACTTTGCGACGTTTCATGAATCCCACTAATAATTATTACTAGTTTTTAAGGTAATACTTCCATCATGCGAAATACTTTACGTTTTCAAATCTTGTGTTCTTTGTTTTAACCGAACATACACACTGATGTATATTTCTGCACTCATTTTTATATGAAGAGTATAAATACAATATTTTTTCCTCTAAAAACTTTTAATGTTTTTCTTAAGTATATTATTTAAGAATTGCATATTTAAGATAGAAAAATACTTTGCTTTTTTACTTATTTCAACATTTAGATAATGGGATAACTTTACATTCTCTTTTGAAGATAAAACATATCTATTAACTACAAAATTAAGCAAAAAGCTTCAAAAAATAGACACATATATACAAAAAAAAAAATAGCAAAATGCCATAATGAACTAGAAATAATAGAGTACTTAAGTACATAAGTGTATGCTTAAGTACAGGCAATTCCTTCAATTACAATTACGCAGGTGTTAAGGTTTTAAGGGTTATATATTTCTTTCTATGCGGGAATAGTTGCTTCCTCGTAGAAATCAGGTTCGTCCTCATCTTTGACTTCATTTCCATCGAGCTAAACAAAAATAAAACAAAAGATGATATAAGCGATGAGCATTTCTTAAAAAGAAAATCTTATATTATAATAAAGTACCAGGGTATCAAATCATGGTCACTTAGATAGCTTTAATGTTACTGGAATTTATTATTTAGCTTTACGATATATGTACATACTAGAGATGTTAGTTTTTCGGCCTTTTCCGATCCCGGGATTAGTCCCGGGATTTAGATATTTATTACTTTTTAAGAACTTGAATCGAAAAAATGCTTCTATATTATTTGAGAAGCTCTCCTACCATGAAATAAATAATAAATAAATGGGTTTGAAACCTACTTTTTTATTTACAGTGGCGTTTTTATTTTTTCTCTCTGACCGCAGGATTCATTTTGAAGGACTTTGTAATTTCAAAGATATGTTAAAAAAAATTAAATGCAATGTGGAATAAAAATATGAGTAACAAATGCAAAAGAAATTTCTTTAGAATTAAAAAAAGATAAATTTTTTGGATTCACAAGAACGAATAGGTAATTTTTAAGTCGACAAAGTTAGAAGAACGAAATTTGAGGATGTTATCGAGTTTATATAAGCCCTTAACATATAATTTTTTTCAAAAATAAATATTGTGAAATTTCAAGGATAAAATTTTAAAATGACATTTTCAATATTTACCAGCCCTTCTGCACCAGAAACTTGAATCTATTTAAATTCTACAGGATCCCCCTATTTAATTTTATACCCACACTTCTTCTCTAAGCACATTTATCTGAATCTTTTAAATCATTTTTGAATTACTGACGTCAGAGTGAAAAACTGAAAACGCAATTTTACTATATTTGGCCCAGGGTTTCGCGAATATATTGATATTTGTGTTTAAAATTTACTATCACGCAGTGTTATAATGTATAATGAGCTAGACTTTAAAAAAAAAAGTATTAATTAGTAAACAAAAAAAGAAATATAGCCAATACTGGTCAAGAAAAGCAGCTTCTATTATTGCCATCAGTGCAAATTAAAAATCTCGAAAATCCCGGGATTACTTGCCAAGAATCCGGGGATTTTCGAGACCTTAAAAAGTCCGGGATCCCGGTATCCCGGGACTAACATTCCTAGTACATACATACATATGTATGTATATAAATGAAAATAAAGAACATTAAAAAGTTTATCGATAAACAAAAAAAAATTTCATATATTTCAGCCTACCCAAAACCTCATAAATCTATCAGAATATTTAGGAAATAAATAAAAAAATTAGCTTTTGATAACTAATTAATTACCCAGTAGAAATCGGTTGTAAGCATTCATGAAGTATGCATGCTGTATGCGTGAAAAAGTGTGAACAATTCATGAGCGACTATGAAGTTCCAGAAATAAAGTCATATTCTGCCGAACTGTACTTTGTTCCTTTTTTAAGTACATTTCTCTATAAATTTGACTACTATACAATATCACAAAATGGTTGTTTTATTTTCAGTCTTGTGCAAAATTTTAGCGAACGGACGTATCGTGTGATATTATTTTCGGTACTAACAGGGCTTTTACATGATATGAATTTGCATATATATGTAAATGCTACCGTTTTGTTTGTACTCGTACGTGCCATATATTAAAATGTATCAGAAAAGTATAATTTATGTACATATGGCAATATATGTATATCGTGTTAGAATGCTTTAACACTGTTCCATTAATGCAGCATTAACGCATAAGATTTCTACTGGGTAGGTAATATTTAGGGATGCAAACGATGCATCGATATTTTTGAAACATCGATAATATCGTTTCAAAATTCGATGTTTGCCATCGACGTTTACGATTTCCTAAAATCGCTAAATTGACGATACATCGATGCCAGTTTCAGCGATGTTTTAACATCAACTTATGCTCCTAAAATCTTTTGACTGGCCATGAATTTTATTACTTATTCTTTTGAGGAACATTCAGAAATTCCAAGCTTACTCTTATTATTCGATATTAAAAATGCTTACTTAGTCATTAAAAAATGACCGGGATCCCGTTGAAATTTCACCGAAATCGGGCCCTGGAACTTTAGGCTCTTCGAACTTACGACGGCATGCATTTCTATTCTATTTCTAGGAAGGGTAAAGGAGTGGTAAATAAATACAGGGAAATAAAATACATCCATATGATAGTATTTTTCTAATTGAATTACAGAGAGTTTGAATTGAAAATTATTTAATTTACCTTTTAATGTGACTACAACCTAACAACTTTTGAAACATCGGAACCCATGATATATCGATGTTTTTCTGGCGATGTATTTTAGCATCGATATTAATTTTTCCGATGCATCGAAACATCGATGTATCGATGTTACTCCCCAAAATTTGCATCCCTAGTAATATTCCTAACATACTTAGAAATACATTAGGATGAGGAGTACATATCTGACTCTAATGTATGTACTGTACACAGTAGAAATCAGTTGTATACAGATATGAAGCACATATGCATGTATGCCGTATGCGTGAAAATGTTTGAACAATTCATAAATGATCATGAATTTCCAAAAATAAAGTCAATTCTAACGAACTGCAGGCGCTTTGTTGTTGTTTTACCCACATTTCTAGATAAATTTGACTATACAAAATCATTACATTTTTCTAATATTTTCAAACTTGTGCAAAAAATTTTAGTAAACGGACGTGTTGTGTGGTAATATAAGAATGTTAGGGAACGTACCCATACTACGTGACCCGTTCATGGAAGGGGGAGGGGGATCTTCAATTTCAATGAGGGGTGGGGGGCTTAGGTTATTATCACGTAGTCAATATCCTCTAAGGAAATCTAGCGTTTTCACGAGCTACATTCAAATTGGGCGCGCAGTGTTTAGCGCTTTTTAAACTCACAGGACTTTTGTTTCTATAAATTAAGTTCTGGTTAAAATATATTTTGACGTAAGATTTATCTTGATAATGTTTTTTTTTCACTTGCAATTACAGGTATGCACGCACTCTTGCGGTCACGCAGCAAGCACCGTATTAATAAAGACAAATACTTATAAGCCAAATATTTTTTTTTTTACTTTTGGTTATCCACCAATCTTACGGCACTAAAATTTTGCAGGAGAGCGAAAAAACGGGTTTTCTTTGAAGGCATTGCCTTGATAGGCGGTATTTTCTCTAACTATTATTTTACAAATCTGTCGTTTTAATAACGTTTTACTATTTTTATGCATAAATCTCGATATCTGGAGTTCAGGGTTACCAAACCTCATTTTTGTCACAATGGCGATTTAGGCGGTTTTGCAACTGGTCGATGGGCGGTTTTGCAAAAATATCGACGAAATGGTTTCTCTGGGTAAAGACCTAGTTTCTGATATGTCGGTGAAAATAAGAAAAACCCTATAGTTCCGCACATTACATGTGCAAGGAGACTCCAACAAAAGTTGTTTGTTTAGGTTGCAACCCTATGCTACAGAGAATTATATTGCAAAAATTGTAAATCTACTAGCGCAGTTATTGGATGTATTTCGATTTTATACTTTTGATTTTCGATATCGCGGAAAATTCAAAAATCAAAAACAATGACGATTTTTAAGAAACAGTTTAACAGGGCTGAGTTTAATACTGTGATATACTACATGTCCCTTAAGAACAGCCACGAAAAAAAAATTAGGTGGTACCATTCCAAAAATTAAATTAAAATTGCCAAGTTTACCGTCCTGTAAATGGCCTCACATAATAGAAAATCTTAAGTCTAGTGAGTTCTACACAAAATCTGCAAATATATGTATTTAAAATGATATTTTTAATACAATTTTACGAAAATTTCGTAATAAATTTGCCATGCAAATTTAAATAACTTAGCTCATGGGCGTATCCATGCAGGAGAAGGGGGGAGCGGCTCGAGACCCCCTTACTTTCACGTTTCCTTATATATATATATATAAAATAGTACCCTGAAATGCTAACTTAATATTAATATAATTTGTACGGCGCGGTAGGTGAAGCTTCGTGACGGCATTTTTCCTGATTTCGACGTAACCTCACTAACATGCCCAAATGCCACCAATTAAAAAACATAACAGCGTGCTGGCTAGGCAGTTCCTGTTGCTATGTGCCTTGGCTAATCAGTTAAGTAATAACGTTCATATCTGCATTGAAATTAATGGAAGGGTTAACCTTTTTCGTGGTGAGCCAGCCATTTCTGCCTTCTTTTCCTGTGCAGTCTCTCTACTTTATGTAATCTTTAAAAAGAAACGACCTAAGTATACATATCACTTTTCTGGATCTTTATGCCCAAATTGTGCGCCCTTAGGCGTCTAAGATGACTAAGACTAATCTAATTTTATCTTAAAATCCAAGCAACCAAACAATATTCCACGCCTTCGTTGACTGCGAAAATTGGCCGACTTACCGCTTGCAGCTGCTGTGGCGAATAGATCATCACAAGGCGCTGCCTTACCGGCACCATAAGTATTAAGAAGAATGGAAAAGCCAATGATATTTTTGACGATTTCACAGCCCAAAGTATTGTGAGACAAAGCAATTGTATTGTGGTGAAAAGGTGCATCTTCCAAGTGGGCACCCGCTTCACATACGGCGTGGGTGGATAATGTTTTACAGGCATGAAGTATAGTCTCATTCTATAAAGAAAAACTCGATTAAAGTAATTAAGTAAGTATAAGTGGTAATGGAAATGTAAATTTACCTATCAAAGAACTGCACGCCACTCATAGATGCAATACCCATGTACAAGAATACGCCAAACAGTACCGCCATAGGCACCAAACGCAACAGTGGTGCCATTGTCACCGACAAACCAATCATAAGTGCCACGAAGAAACCAGACAAACGCTGCTCTTTCACATCAATAATGCGTGGCGATTCACCAGGAGCATGGGTTCTGAAAATTTATAATTTTAACTAGCACAAAGAGTAGTGCAAAAGTAAATAAATTTTTTGCTCACCTTGACATCACCGTTAGCGCAGAAACGTGTGTTACCGAACGTACAGTGGCCGCACAATGCCACGGCGTACCGAAGAAACCGCAACATGTATTCAAAAAGCCTAATATCACAATATCCAAATGCAATCCCGAGCCCTTTTTCAGTCCACGCTCCGGTTTGTCGACAATCAACTCAGAGATATGTGATTCCATAAAGATGAGGATGTATACCAAAATAGCTGGTATGCCACACGCAAACGGTATCCAGATGGGCACACCACCCAGGGGCACCAACCAACCGCGCACTTCCGGATCGCTGGGTGAAATACCCTCTGGCACGCTGAGTTTGTCCGTGTACACTTGTGGTATTAGATAGTCAATCAAAACAAAAATCGCTATGGCGATCGGCACACCAAAGTCACCCAGCGCACGGCGAGCATTTCGTCCCAGGAAATGGGAATTGCGGAAGAGTTTCAGATAGTAGGCGATAGTGAAGGTGCCCAAGGTGAGTATAGTGCAAAAGAGTGCTGTATTTGGCATATTTGTATGTGGTGCGTTCGGCGAAACCAAGCCAATGTGGGTCGTAATGTTTGAAGGCGACATCTCTGTGGTCACATTGCCGAAGCTATCCATGGTCATATTATCGAAGCTCTGCAATTGCGGCGCAAGGGTTGCTGGTGGGAAATTATAGTCGGCCAGCAGTGGGTTCTTCTTGTATACAGATACTAGCTTCGTTAAAGTCTCATAGATATAAATCAATGTGATCAAGGCGGAGAAGATTTCTTGCGTGAAACGCGTAAATAGGCGCACATAAACGCTGCACTCGAATGCTGACAACGTGGTGGCAATAATGGCCAGCCAAACGCCGATGTATGCGCGTATAGTGAGAAAGGGTAAATTATTCTCGCGGCAGAAGTTTATCAGCGCCTCATCAAAAAGCAGAAGTGGACCCGTGGTACCTATAATGCCGAGCGGTTGTCCGGAAATCGTATGAAAAATTATACCACAAAGTGCTGTACTCAACAACGTCTCCGAAATACCAATTAAATTTCCTGTCTTTTCAGAGGCCAGACCACCGAACGTGATGGCCGTCGAGAGGCAGGCAAAGTACATGAAAATCGTGGCGGCTAGCGTTTGCGAGTTAAGGCCGTCCGTAATATCGCTCTTATACATGGGCAGACGACGCTTAAGATCATTACGCAAGCCGCCCCACCACTTGTGTGTCTTTTCCATCGGATTGATTTTCTTCTTCCCATCAAAAGCATCCAGTTGTGGCTTCTTTTCAACAACTACTTTAGTCTCTTGCTTTATTTTCTCCTTCAATTCATTTTTCACCTCCAACGCCTTTCGCTTGCGTGAGCGAATCCAGTCCTTCTTTGCTTTCAATTCCTCAAATGGCAAGAGATCTTGACGCTCCCAATTACCCGGTGGCAACACAATAGAATCATCCAAGAATTCGTTGATGGCCGAAAGCAGATCTTTCCGATCATCTGCCTTGTATGCGATTGCATGGAATGGTTCGTTCGCCATTAGCGTAGCAATGGAGCGACCCACTTCATGATAGTCCAAATCGAGTGTTGGTGGGCCCATGAGTATGAACATGAAGCGCACCGGCACAGCTACCTCGGTCAAAGTGGGCATAAGCACACCTTCGGCGAGACGCACGAACGCAATAGTTGGCTGCTGCAGAAAGTCTACCGCGCCCACCTGTAGAAAGCAAGGTCGTATACCTTTTCTTTTAGCAAAGATTTGTGTAAACTATTTATTCATCAGTTCTTACCAATACAGTCGTCGCTTCAGCACCCACTGGTATACGCTTCAGGATGGTATCGTTCTGTAGCTTTTGTAGGTTCTCCTGCGACGATGAAAACATGTCGTCCCTCATGTCGATCTTTAAATCATTGCTACGTTTGCTGCCACCAATTTCGCTAGCAGGCATTATCTTCGGCCGTTTGTCTTCTCCAGACAGGTTCTAAGGAATATCGGAATTTTGTGTTAAAAAATCACAATTATCAAAAAAGTTAACGATTATAAAATTGTTTCTTTTTCGATAAAAATACAACTGTAACCAAAGCTTTTAAGTTCAAAAAGGCATTCAACTACCTTAAAAAGCATGCTTCATGTGAAGTTATAACGGATACGGAAATGTAATAAAATATTGTATATACAGGTAATATGTTCATAAATACAAATTCTTTTTGCTTTATAGCAATGCATGCATATCGGAACCGCGTAAGAAATTGAGAAAATTATTCATTTAAGAAAAAACGGTTTTAGGTACATTCACTTTAAATTTAGATTAATCAGCCTTAAAACTCATATAGAAGAGTATTGGAAATTCGTAACTCATTTGTTATTTTTTATACTCAAATGCGGATATCCTGTTACCCTATTAAATAAGTATCCAGGATACTAACGTAACACACTAGCCAGCAAGAAATTATCTATGCAACGCTTTTCCTTATTCCGTCCAATCTCTGACAAAGTTTGCCCATTAAATGGTTTTTACGACATCAAAATAGGCCAAGCACTATATTTTGGGCATAAAAGGAAGCAGCGCATAAAATTGATGCACATAACAAGAAAAAGGAAACTAGAAATCATGCCGTAAAAAATATTGACCTGCATTCCCACTGAATTTGAAAATGTTATTTGTAAAATAGACCTTTTAGGGACCGTACACTTATCAAATGAGTGACCTCAAACAAGGGTAAGTGTGAGAGGAATGTGTAGAAATCATGCCAAAACTTTCATGCATCATTATGGGAAATTGTAGAACAACAAGCTTATATCTTTCTTAACTTCTACATAAAATACAAATACTTCGAATACAAATATTTCGAATTATAATATAAAATTTTACCTAATAAATGAACTTCTGTTGCCCTTTTTGTATTTTTCTACAATATTTATGCCTATGAAAGGAAGCTGCATAAAACCAACTACGGTCTGTATAATAGCTGAAATACAATGCCGGCGAACGGCGAACTCACCACAGCGAAATTCGTGCTGCCTGCAAGCATATGAAATTGAACACAGCCAAAGCGAAATGTGAAATTCGCTCGCCGGCGTTTCGTGGCGATAGATTTATCTCTATCGCCCTGCTGATCGATGACAGCTGTACGTGCCAAAGGTGGCCGTATTTCTTTTTTCAAAGTTTTAGAAGAAAACAACACGAATTATTTTTGTTATTTGAAAAATACAGTTGCGGATTCGTTAAGACCGGCTTGCAATAAAATAATATATAATAATTTTCCTTCGTTATATATATATATTTGTTACAATTTCCTCATTTCTAAATATGGTTTGGTTTTTTCTAAATATGGTCACCCAAATCATAAAGGCGACCAAATGGTATCAGCTGTTTTCGCTACCGCTCTAATTCTGTTTAAGTAAGCAAAATAGCTAGGCGAACGGTGAACGACAGCATCGCCCAACTCGGCGAAGTTTGCCCTTCGCCAGTATTGTATTTCAAGCATTAGAGATACGCGCGTATTAAAAAAAAAAATCAGTGCAATGTAAAATAACAATATGGGTACCAAAGGAGAGCGCAAATTCTGTAGAATTTAAAAACGATAAAGTTTTTTGGTTAAAAAGGACGAGTAGGTATTAAAGATGCGCTTTCAATCAATTTTTTTGAAGTTAATAAAGTTTGCAGGACGAAATGATGAGGTCGAATATTAGTCCTCAAACAATAATTTTTTTTTAAATAAATTTTGCAAATTTTTAAGGATAATTTGTAAAGGACATTTTTCAGTACCTATTCGTCCTTATGCACCAACAAAATTTAAACGCTTTTAATTCTACAGAAAATTTTCTTTTATATGATACCCTCATTGTTATCCTGCATTTGAAGTAATCATACTTTTAATATTTCAAAGTCCTTAAAAGATCCTGACGTCAGAGAGAAAAATTTCGCGAATATTTCGTTTCGCGAAAATATTATTTTTTTTTTGTGTAAAATTTACTGTCGCACATTTCCGGTTAGCTTCAAAATTCAAACAAATGGAAGTCAGATCGTCCAGACTTTGTTTCCAGATCAAAGATGTGCGTGGCCTGGAATGGTCATGATTCAAGACAACTGCTTTTTAGTTGACAAATTCTGGTCTCTCTTTCTGCATCGCTTCGTTCAAACGGCCGAGTTGTGCACAGTATAGGACCGAATTGATCGTTTCTCCAGGTTGTAGCAGTTCACAAATGGACAACACACTTCCAAACCCACCGAACACTCGACATAACCTTGTTTGTCGTCAATCCAGGCTTTGAAGTCGATTTCGCAGACTCATTTGGCATATTTCTTCAGATATTTCCATAATTTTCAAATTAATGTCAACTTTCAAACGCACGTACGTTTGACGCGGAAATGGATTAGCATTTCCAAATATATGATCATCAGCATCGCACAATGACAAATAATCCGCAGAGACTTTTCATATGTCCCAATACTAAATTATTGGCTGTCTTTCGCGTGCCTAGGAACTGTAAAGCAGTCTTACGCTACGCGCACACTGCAGCCGGCATCGGCCGAATAGTGCTCGGCCGATATCGGCTATATGCGGGCGATATGAATAAACACTTGTGATTATATGATCGCTCTCACACATAAACCGATAACCGAACCGACATCGGCCGTTGACGTCCGTCAGTGACGGTAAATTCAAACATGTTTGTTTTTCTCGTCCGATGTCAGGTGAAAAGTACCAAAATGGATTGCGAAAAGTTAACTTCTTGGGTGCAAAAATAAAAAAATTACATATAAATCACATGTTTAGAGTATTTCAATTAAAATGTATCAAAATATTTCACTGCTTACAAAATTGTAATGAAAACTAGATTTGTGTGTACAAATACGGTCGGTAAATAATCTGGTTAAGTGTGCGCATCAATTCGGACGGTCAAATTAGCCGCCCGAAATCGGTCATCCTATCGGATGCAATGTGCGCCTAGCGTAACATTTGCTGCAGCTATGCGGAACTAAAGCTGATGACAGATAAAACTTTGAGGCTTTGCGTGACAATTTGTAACTTTGCCAGCAAGGCGCCAGACGCAAAAGGTATGCCACAATGAACGCCAAGAAAACAATTTTGTACTGGTTTTTTACGCGTCCAAATTGCTGTGGATTTTATTTATTTGGCTTTACAAATATCAGCAATGTAATTAGATTTTATGTTTCTGCATGAAACAAAATAAATATTAAACCGGCTGATTGTCAACGCGCGCAAAAAGATGGGAGTTGGCCATCTTTTCGCTTCGCGCTGCAGCTGAAACGATCTATGTGACATGCTTTGTGCATTTTCATATATTTCATCTTATCTGTCAAAGCGAATCTGTCACGCAACGCGAAGCAAAAGTTTTATCTGACTTCAGCGTAAGGTTTCACTATATATTTTCTTGATGCATAAGCAAGTAACCCAATGCATTTTTGGCAATAAGAGCATAGTTTGTACCTAGCGTCACCTCTTTGAAGCAGTTTTTTAAATTTATGTAGCTTTTCTCTGCTCATAATTCACAATTTTCGCAATTAGAGCGGCTACAGCAAACAGGCTCAATAAGTATGCGAATGCAACTTGCTACTAAATATTTGTTTAACATATCTAGTTTGAACTTTCTAGTAGCCCGCGTTATGCGTTGCATTTTTGTAGGTTTTACTCAAATCTTTTATTTTCAGAGTGTTCCAAAAATTGCCAAGAGAACTAGATACTTATTCCAAAATTCATTTCCCATAATTCATAAGCTCCCAATAGTTACTACATAAAATATTATGAGTAGGTACAATGAGTTAAACGAATCATCTGTCGTGTATGTATCTATATAGGATTAAGACTGAAGTCAAGCATTTGATAGTGCAAGGTTAATGTAATCGCAAGAGTCAGTGTGAATGCGTTTGCTTCTTAACAAAACTAAAAAAATTAACTAGAACAAACTTTGCAAACAAAATAGAGTTTTTTGGTTTTTTTTCTTTACTCCCAAATATGACATGGTGGAGTGCCGCCGATTGATATTATTGCTGGGATCGACGCAAAGTGAAATGGATGTAGGCGGTGCACTGAGTGTCTCACAAACGGATCGCCGCTTTTTGGCATTTTCAATATTCCTATGATGTTGTTGTATTGCTTGTTGTTGCTGATGAAGTTGCTGTTGAATTTCGCCGCTCATCCAAAGCAACTTTATGTTTGTATGATTTAATTAAATAAAATTTTTATAAAAAGGTATGCGTTTGTGAAAAGAATAATAGGCGAAAGTTTTCAAAGCAGTTTTTTGCAGATTTTAATATTTTTTTATGTACGGGCCAATCATTTATTTACGAATCAAGTTAATTTGAATGATTTTCGCAAATTAAAATTATGAGCATGAATAATGAGAAAATAAAAGCATTTAGTTAGAAGAATTAGAAGAAATAGAAAAATATTTGATTAATATACATACATATGTATACTTCTAATGCCCATAAAAAATTTGATTTTTTTTTATTAAATTTGCAAGAAATATAAATAAGCACACAAGCAATTTAGGTACTTTACTTGAACTCATCCGTTCTTCTCTTCGCTTTATGCCTAAAGTCAATCAATAACCATATTTTCTTGTACAATAAGCACAGCGAATTTTCAAAGTTTGCTTTTGTGCCCATATTTCAGTGCATACTTGTTTACTGCAAGACTGTCATAACTCAAATAAACACTTTTTCCCGAAGCTCTATAGCAAAGCTTCAAAGCGAGTCCATCGCACAGGGAAAACAGAGATACAATTTTCATAAAACGGTATGTAATTTAACTGTTTTTTTGTGGATTAATACTCGTTTTTGGTATCTTGAGTTATCACTTTCTTACACATATACAAAAAATATGAAAATAGAATAGAAAAACTTTGTAATGACTTTACTGTTTTGGCAATCGCTGTTGATACTTTATTGCCATTCGGCGGTGATTTCTGCTTGCACACGCACACATAGAATCATGAAGACAGGAAGAGTGC